AAGGTCGGGCCTAGTATTTAAATTAAAAAACCCGAACGGGTTTAGGGTTCACAAACCCGACCCGCCCGAACCTGACCCGTGCACACCCCTAATAATGAGAATGGGCTACCAAATATTTAGTTGGATTATCATGATAATTATAGAAGCTCAATAAAGAGCCAACTAAAGTTGATAAAAATATCTGGACAACCCGGGTGCAATTTTGGCCCAACCTGCAAAAATGGCAGGAATAATTGGAAGTGACTTTCTACACCCACTTGGGGTATTTTATCAGTCAAATAACCCTCAAATAATAGGGAGGGGGACAAGGAAATGTGTGTGTGCGGACATATAGTGTGAGGGAGATGGGAGAGGACATATGAAAGCTCCTAAGACCTTATACTCCTCATATTATTGAAGCTTTGATTAAGGGGGGTGTTTCTCACTTCTCCTCATTCACACCATACGTATGAAATAGAGAGATAAGGTCTAGGAGAAGCTCTAAACATAGACTCAAGCTTGGAGGAAGCAAGAGGCAAGGAAGTCCCAAGAGAAAACTAGCTAGAAGAAAGGTAAGAACTCAAATAGTTCTTTAACTAGTATTATTTTTGTATGATTTTTTAGAAATCATATGGTGGATTAAACACGAAGCTCTACACGTTTAAAAGTGTAGAATATTGTTATAAAGTGGTGGTATTTAACTTGGAAGAGTTGGTGAATCGATAGGAGTCGAAATCGCCGGAAACCGCCAAGAATAGGAGGCTATTCGTAGCTGCAGACCACGAACGTCGCCCACCTTTTGCAAAAGCCGCCCACCTTTTGTGTGCTGCCCAGATTTTTCGCTTCTAATAGGTTTAGAACGGGGATTGATCGAAGGGCTTAACAAATGCAACTATTTCAGCACTCCATAAGGTGAGGATGACTGACTATATTGCTTATAATTGTTGGGTTAATTTCATAAGATTACCTAAGATTACTAAATGAGTTTTTCATGGATTATTAAATGATTAATGATGCCTATATGAAAAGAATGATGTATAAATAAGTGAAGCATGGTATACAAATTTATGAAATAAATTGTGTATGATTATGTGATATGAATATGAAAGTATGATAGTTGAATTAACTGTGAATGTTGAGATAAAATATACTTTTACTTCATGTAAAAAAGTCATGAATGGATAAAAGTGATATTGTTGGTATTGTGATTAAATTGTATTTGGATTGGAAAATCAATTGGATTGAACCTTATAACTATGGATTAGGAGCTTGGTTGCTCTAAGATTATTTGACTAGTATTGAAATACTAGTCAGAAGTGTTAGTATGAAAAGTGATAGAACAAATCCTAAGGGCTTGGATTGTGAAAGATGTACCTTAAGTAGTCTTATGAGATGCTTTAAGGTAGAAATGTGTAAACGTTAAATTGTGTTACGAGTAGGCCTCAAATACTACTCATAATAAAGTGACTCTAGGTATAGAATTTGCTTGGTAATTTAATAGTGTGACTAGAGGAAGCCTCTAGCACAATGTAGAATGACTAGAGTAAGCCTCTAGTATAATGTAGAACGACTAGAGTAAGCCTCTAGCGTGATGTAAGATTACTAGAGGAAGCCTCTAGCATCACGTAGGGTGACTAGAGAAAGCCTCTAGCATCACGTAGGGTGACTAGAGGAAGCCTCTAGCATAACGTAAGGTGACTAGAGGAAGCCTCTAGCACAACGTTTGTAAGGTGATTAGAGGAAGCCTCTAACACCAAGTGGAGTGACTAGAGTAAGCCTCTAGCACGATAGCACATGACTAGAGGAAGCCTCTAGCATGACGAAGTAATATAGATGAGTGTGGCTTGAAGCCACGGGGGAAGGGTTGAATGTTTTCAAGTAAACATGGGCCTATGGGCCGACTACTTGACTTTATTATATATAAAGTAAGTATATTTTCAAAGAGGGTAACCAAGGGTTATGACCTATAATATAATATCACTCTATTTGAGGGTCTTAGAAATTGAAACATTGATTATACTTAGTATAGTTGTCATTGTACTTTTCAAATGCTTCCAAGTACTGACCTCTCCTTCACGGGGGAGGCCACCTCACAGTTTCAGGTAGAGGTTAAAGCTTGCTACCATCACCCGTTGCTTCGGGAAGATCAAGGAGATAAGACGCGGTTCGTGCTTCCTCCGCTTCTATTTTAAAAACATTTAAATTAATGTTCATGGATATTATTTTTGAATAATTATGTGGGGGCTTGCATGCCCATGTTTGCCAAAGTGTGGCATAAACACTTCTATTAAATGTTTTTGCTGCTTTAAATGAATATTTTACATTATGTTTGTTTATGGATGTACTATGTGTGAATGGTATTCAAGACGCCTAGTATTGTATGAATGGGTTGGACTGCGGTTGACTATTCGTACTATACGGCGGGTTGTTGACGTGTCCGGTAGGTCCAGGGCGTGACAAGGAAGCCAGCTGAATTTGAGCTAGGGGAGAAAGTTCTACTCAAAGTCTCTCCTACAAGGGGAGTAATGAGGTTTGGGAAGAAAGGGAAACTGAGCCCGAGGTTCATCGGACCCTACGACATACTAGAGAAGGTGGAAAAAGTGGCATATCGATTAGCTCTACCCACGGAGCTGGATAAGGTAACAACTAATTTGAGGTCAAATACATCTGTACGATTAGAAATCATTCTTAGCATACCGACGTTTGCTAGGTACATAACGTCTTTCACGTATCACAGTTAAAGAAGTACGTTCGAGATGAGTCACATATCATCAATCCGGGGGTAAGAGACCCTAAGCTTAACATATATGATCCAAACGTAAATTGAAAATAATATAAGTTAACCCTTATATTATTAGGTGATTGAAATTGATGAAACATTATCTTACAAAGAAAAACCTGTAGAGACCCTCAATACTAAGACCCGGGAGACGAGGAGGAAGACCGTTAAGATGGTAAAGGTACATTGGTCAAACCATTTGACTGAGAATGCAACATGGGAGACAGAAGAGGATATGCGTAACGGTATCCTGAATTGTTCAATTAAGGTAAATATTGAGTTACGAGGACGTAACCTCTCTTTTAGGGGGGGGGGGGGATTATAATCTCTATAAACTTGTAGTACTTCATTTTCATACTTAATTTTCGCTTTATAAAATTGTGATACCCAGAAAATTTAAAGAAATACCTAGCAAACGTCGAGATAAAGTACTCTCGACATATTTGATCCCTATAATTCATCTCGAAATTTATAAAATTGTGATACCCTGAAGTACTAAATTGTGATACCCTGAAAATTTAAACAAAAATAAAATAAAAATAAACCAGTTCCTAAAAGGCCATTTCCTAGCTATATATATAAGAGGAATTTGTTAAGAGCATACATCGCTAAACATAACCCTATTTTTTTTTTGTTAGAGGTACTTTTATAAAAGTATAAACGATTAAATTTCTCACAAACATAGTAACAACTCAGGACCGAAATTTTCTAGTCCCATAGACAAAATCATATTTAAACAAACCAGACGGGAAGCATCAATTTTGATTCCAATGTTATCAATAATACCTTCAAATGTGAGCCTTCCCTTTCAATTGCAAAGAAGAGAGTTTCTAATAATAGTTGCTTATGATATGACTATTAACAATTTTAACATGTAACTGATGTAAGGTTAGTCTCTCTAACTCTAACGTAGAATTGTTACAAGGTTGATGCTCTATCACAGTCATCTTCACATTGCAGTTTCTAGCTGTAGTAATCGAATAAGATTCAAAAAATTGTTAGTACATGGTGACGGTCGAAGTACATGAAGACTATAAATGTTGTTGACAAAAAGTTTTTTGAAATCTATTGAGTTCATATTGTATTTTTCTCATAATTGATATTTGCATTACATATTCAATTGAAATTACACTTTGGGAGAATATTTTTTATTTATTTATAGTTTTTACTCTCTCCACCACGAAAAGAAATTCCCGATTTGACTTATAGACATATGTATGTAAGATAAAATTTTGTTTTGACTTTCAAATATACTCTTGTTTTATGTCACTTTTTCCACAAAACTAATTTCTCTTTTAGAAATAGAGGCTTCATTTTGGAACATCGATTAAAGGAAAATGATAACTTATTTTGCGAATGGAATGAGTACTTGTATTCTCAAAAGTTCACCTAAAATTTTGGAAAATAAGAACTTATTGTGTAAATGGAGTGAGTACTTATATTCTCAAAAGTTCACCTAAAATTTTCCGTGCATCACATGAGTTAGATACTAGTCTAAGACTCCAAAAAAAATCCCTGACAATAATTGTCGATTTCATGAAATCAACTATACAATAATCAACGGATTGCGCCTGACTTTGACTAGAGTCTAGAGTGAACAGACTGCTCCAATTAGTTCAAAATGAACATACTATAATAAACAACTGATCAGATTTTATAAAACACCTGAAATTCTTAATATCTTAATTTGTACGACTAATCAAAATCACTACTTATATTAGTAGGCTGAATTATATCTCATTACGTAAGTTTATAAACCAAATTGCCATCATATTCAAATTCAGTTTTTGCAATTTAAAATAACTTTTAATGTAGTCTATAAAATACCATAAAATGAATGCTAAAATATGAACCGTATAATTTCTTATATTAAATACGAAGTAGTAATTTGCTTCTTATTTTATACGTAGTACTAGTGTAAGTTTATAAAAATAATTGACTAGAACAATCTCAACTATTAGTGATTATAAAATAATTCCAACTATTGAAAAAATCTTCTCAAAATGCTCCACTTACTCATAGATATTACTACGTATAAATTATTTACAGATAATTATAAGTCACCGAAGTATTTTGAGAAGATTTTTTATAGTTGGGATTATTTTAAAATAATTAATACTTTGGTCTTTGGATAATTTCAAGCAGTTCACTAATAGTTGAGATTATTCTTGTTCATTTTCCCTAAGTTTATACTTCGTATATTCTTTACATATACTAGTATAACTGTATAAGATTACTTTTCTATGAATCAACCTAAATTATCATAATCATTAAGCAAAAGATATACGCCTTATTGTTGTACAGAGTATATACTTCAACAGAGTATATTCCAACATACATGGAAGTAAGTAAGGAATTTTAAGTCAAGCAAGTGGACCCATTAGCCGGAAGACCAGAGTACATCATTGTAAAAACCCAATTCGACTTTCTGAATGATGGTTGAGAGTTTCAAAAGTTGAAGAGAGAAAATTTAAATTTATTTAACTCAATTTATATTATTTTACTGTAGGGGAAATTAAAAAATTAGAGTCAAGTATGACGCAAGAAACATTGTTCTTGCTGCGGCCCTTTGGTCAAAATGTAGGAGAATATTGGGAGGTACACACTTGCTTCGGAGGAAATTTCTTTAACTTTCTTCTTTCTCTTTATATATAAATATAAACTCAATTTCCTGACAGCAAATACAACGAACAATAACCAAAATTCACAACATCCTCCATTGAAGATTTCTTGATCGCATTGAGAAAGATGACACTGCCCGCAACACCTGGTAGGATGAAAGCAGCAATCTTCGCCTCATCCAAAACCAACACTTCTCACACTTCTTCTTCATCTTCAACCCATTCTTCCCCATCCCAAACACCTTCCCACACGCTATCAGAATCAATGATGGAGGAAACCATAGATAACGCTGAGGCGATTATTAAGAAATGGGATCCAAAAGGATCCTACTCCCATGAGAAACTATTTCAAGAAAACAAAGACGAAGCCCGGGAATTCATCAAGTGCGTCCAGGAATTGAGAAGAGTGATGCACGTCCTGGTTTCAAATCGTTCGGGACCTGGGAAGCTAGCTCGAGCACAGAACTCGATGCATCTGGCCATGGAGAGACTTCAGAAGGAGTTTTTTCAGATACTGTTGGCGAATAGGGAGCGTCTGCATCCCGAATCAGTGTCCACCATATCTTCTCGCATCTCAACATCACTTTCATCTGATTCAGAGAAAGAAGATAGCTTTTGCTTGTCAGACAATGACATTCGTGTGGCTATGAGTGACTTAAGGCAGATAGGTCACTGTATGGTCAGCTCGGGATACGCCAAAGAATGTGTCAATATATTTGAACTCAGGAGAAAGTCTGTTGTGGAGGAAGGGCTGTATAACCTTGGAATAAGGCGGTATAGCTCATCATCCCGCCACATCAGCAAGACGGGCTGGAATATTCTGGAGGATCAGATCAAGAACTGGTTAAGCGCGGTAAGATTCGCAGTTAGGTCCCTCTTCAATGGTGAGAGGCTTCTCTGTGATTACGTCTTTTCTGCATCAGAAACAATAAGAGAGGCATGTTTCACGCATATAGCAAAAGACGAAGCTATTAACCTATTCAGATTCCCAGAACTTGTTGTTGCAGGGAAGAGCAAGATATCGCCAGATCAAGTCTTCATCCTCATGGACATATATGAGGAGATCTCAGAGCTCTTTCCCGAGATTGAGTCAATCTTCTCATATGAATCAGTCTCAGAAGTCAGGCAGCAAGCTCTCTCCTCTCATCAAATAGTAGGACAATTAGTCCAAACCCTAATTTCTGATTTTGAGAAATCCGTGCAGAAGGATTCATCAAAAAAGCCAATCCACGGCGGAGGGATACATCCATTGACCCGTTCAGTGATGGATTTCGTCTCATCAATGGGAGAATACTCCGGAACCTTTCAAGACATAATTGGTGAGGGATCAGTATCAACACGGATTGATAGGATCATCCTCACACTTCTCTGCAAACTTGACACCAAATCCAGGCTCTACAATGACGTTTCTCTATCTTACCTTTTCCTAGCGAGCAACTTCCGGTTCGTCACGGAGCGGATAAGGTCAAGCTCCCTCCTCGAGTGTCTCCTAGGTGACGAATCGCTGTCGAATTTGGACAGGAAGGTGAACTCGTATATAGCAAACTACAAAGCTATGGCGTGGGGAAAAGTGATTTCATCTCTTCCAGACAGATCGGATCCATCACTTTCAATTGAGGAAATAGAGGCGCATTTCAGAGAATTCAGTGCCGCCTTTGAAGAGTCATACCGGAAACATAGAGCGTATATGGTTCCCGACGGGAAGCTCCGAGACGAAATAAAATTGGCAGTAGCAAGAGAATTTGTAGCGTATAAGGAATTCTACGATGCATACCTGGAATTGCTGAGCAGTGCGAAGAACATGGAGGCTCTGGTTAGGTATTCTCCTGATAATTTGGGAAACTACTTGTCAGATTTGTTCCAGGGAACATCCATGTCCGGCATTTCACCGCCATCATCATCAAGGTCTCGTGTATCCCGGTTTCTTCCCTAATCCCAGGAAGTCAGCAAAATCTTCGCCAAGCTTTATTGTTTTGAGTTTACAAAAAAAAAAACCAACACATTAAATGAAGGGAAAGTTCCTGAAATAGGACTAAAAAAGTTTGGAAATTCCAAAATAGGACTGTCATGTTTTTATTCCCAAAATAGGAGTAATTACTGTCAAGTTTGGAAAATACTACCATGTTTGAAGTCTGGTACTGCCAAAACATGACAGTAATTAGTCCTATTTTGGGAACATGGTAGTCTTATTTTGGAATTTGCTAACTCTTTTAGTCCTATTTCGGGTAATATCTCTTAAATGAATGAATTGATCTAATGAAATGGTTTTGTAAACCACAAATATAGCCCAAATTATACCGTGGGATCATCCCACGGTGAGCATGGTGCTCCCGATCCCAGACGGTGCCGTTTGATTATTAAAAATGACCGACTTTCTTCAGATTTGCAGATCCGTGCCCTATCAGATTCAGATTTAGCTAAACCTTACAATTAGATCGCTTCTCCTCTTCCCTTCATTGCTGGAATCGCTACCAGAAAGGAGTTCAACTCACTACACCAAACTAAGTCACCTCCCATGGCGAAGTTGATTCTTGAAGATGGGAGCTACAACAGTTTCCCTTCCCCATCAAAGCCTCCAATCTCCTTCAGGACCCCACAGTTCTCATCTGCAACTCCAACGACGTTTCCGCCATCAGCACCGACGAGGAGCTCCAGCCCGGTCACCTCTATTTTGCTCTCTTGCTGGCCCGTTTCAAGTGCTCCGTAGTGCTCTGTTTTTTTCTTTTGAAGAATGCTCTCTGGTTCTCTTTTTTTGGGCAGCCCTGCTAGTTTCTTGAAAAGTAGATTTGGGTTAAAAAGTTACATTTTTGTTAAAAATATTTACATTTCTAATGGTATGAAGTTACATATCCATTTGTGTGAGTTACATATACATATTTTTATGCTTAAGTTACATTATTTTATAAGCGAGTTACATCTTCTAAAGCGCAAGTTACATTTGTCATCAACGCGAGTTACACTTGTAATAACATGAGTTACATAAATAAATCATGTATTGAGTTACTTGAAACAAAAAATTTGATTTTTTAAAATCCTTGTGATGGTCATGATATTAAAAACAAAACATATTCACAATTTATGTAAAGTAATTGTGTAGTTACTCTTTTTTTCATTGTTTACATTGAAATTAATGTTTCATCTCTTAGGCATCGTATTGGATAAGTTACATTTCAACTGACCTACAGTTACATTTCTTATCAACGTAAGTTACACTTTTTTACTCGCGAGTTACATCACGATATTACTGGGACAAAAAATAAAAAATTAAAAGCTACTGTTCACGCGTGTTACTGTTCACGTGCGAAACTTTTTAATTAAAAGTTGTGCAAAACTACGTCGTTTTAAGAGCAGGAGTATGGTCCTCATCGTGGGATGATGCCACAGTATAGCGCCTCCAAATATCGGGAGAGAGTACAAAATGAGGTACAAATTGGGATAGCAATAGCATTTGTGTATTGTTTTTTGTAAATGAGAATGTATAAAATACAAATGCATTATTCCGCTAATGAGGCTCCATGCACTAATGTTGTCCACATACTCCTTGACTTTTTGGAACATTCTTCTAAACCTATTATAGTATCTAGTGATGTTAATGCCAACATCCTTGATTGGGATGAGACTCAGTATGTTTTCTTTTGAACTATTTTCAGTCCTGGACCAGACCAAACCAGACTTCCGTAGTTATAAAATACACAGGGACCAGACCAGACCAGCTCAGACCAGACAATATCAGACCAGACAAGCAAATTTCAGTTCAAAAGAAAACATGCTCAAACCCGCGACCTTCTCTTTAAGAGACCACAAGGTACTTGCCACATACTCCGTAATTTTTAATAATAACAAATTCAATTTTTGCAACTCAATAGTTTTTTATACAAAAAAATCATTGTGGACTTAAATATGATTCCAAATACTTATTAATTACAATATCACATCCTTGCAAAGAATCACCAATGCAATTTATGCAGATTTCTTTTAATCTAATTCCCAAACACTCACCGTTTAAAACAAGAGTCGACATCAATTGCATAATTTTACTCTAAACTATTAACTTCTACTTTTATAATTTGTAAAAGCCTTATAGTGGAATTAAAACAAAGTGAAACTAATGTATTCTCCCTGCGTCCCAAACGAGTCTCCATACTACTTAAAGAAATGGAGGAGTTTGTATTGAGGAGCACCACACCAATGAAAAGAGAAAAGTGGGATAACAAATTTCAATTCAATGATTATAATATAGTGTACTAGACGAAGTACCCGTGCGATGCACGGGATACGTATATCTAGAGTAGAATAACAATTTGTTTTTAATAATCTTTTATTTCGATGATATATACATTTATAATATGTAATTTTGTTATTTATAAAAAGTTGGAAGGTTTATAAATAGCAACTTTGATTATATAATGGCAGTTTATAGTAAAAGGAAAATGTAGATCATACGAAAAATTGCAAGTAAAATAATAAAAAAGATGAGATAGTATGATCAAATTGTCTCCTTCGTTGATTCTCAGAAACCATTAGGATGTTTTTACTTGGACTGAAATTTTCCAGTCTAGTCTGTACCTGGTCTAAACTGGTCTGGTAAAGTCGGGTTCCTGTGTATTTTATAACTGTCCAAGTCTGATCTGGTCTGGTCTGGTCTGGTCTGATCTGGGACTATAAACTCCATCCGTCCCATTTTGGTTGTTCTACTTTCCTTTTTGAGTTGTCCCAAAATGAATGCCTTGTTTCCTTTTTTGGCAAGAAATATGTGGTCTTTATCATTTCACTTTATTCTACTCAAATCTTAACCATAACTTTTACTTTTCAACCACTTTATTAATAATCATGCCAAATGGAAAGTGGATAATCAATATGGGACGGAGGTGGTAAGAATAAAACATGGTCATATCAAGACACTCATTTATAAGTGTCCTTTATAATTATTTAGAATTTACCATATTTATTCCTTTTTGGTTGGGATCTCTAAATTAGAAATGTTGTCAAGCTTTTAGGGGGTGGAGTATTTTTTTTAAGTAGTATTTCCTATCGTTGTGGTAAAAGTGGAAAACAATTTAGGGGTATTTGGAACTGATTCTGCTTCTGATTCTTTTTTAAAGAAGATCGAAACAAAATCAATTTTCATAAGCTGGTCTCCTAACTTCTAAAAAAACTGCTTCTAGGAATGAATTAGAGCACCATAAGTACTTCTGCTCAATGAAGGAACAAAAACAACTTTAAGATTCAGATCCAAACACTATCTTAAAGCATGTCGTGCTTGCAACTTTATATGTTGAAGTGCTCAATTTAATTTAGGAATATTGCTCTAAATATTTGAAAATAAGTTTTGGAATTTTAGAAAAGGATTGTTGTGTTTTTTTCGAAATAAGAGTACGTCATTTTGCAATAATTGAAAAACATTTTCATTAATAATAGTAATAACGACACTGTGCCAAAAGCAAACATCAAGATTTAACCGAGACAGATGGAGTACTATCTTAACATCATAAACAAATTACACAGTTAGTCAATTAGATCCTCTCATAGTAAAAGGCAATACCACCATAATTACAACGTCTATGTATATACATTAAAAACATATAATGATGTCTAAAATGATAACACACGTTTATAATACTTAATTAATAGTCGGACCTAAAATACGACGACATGAAATGTTGTACTGAAGCTAGTTTAGTCGTTCATGCCAAATGTAAGTGGGAATGACTATTTTGGTGTATCTACTCTAACCTTATTCTGCGTATAATTTAACATCACTTTAATTAAGCAAATACGATGGACTCAATTTGTAATCACTTTGCTATTCAAAGAATAATTTGTTACAAATTAAAATGTGAAATTTATTCCCTTATGTCATTGGGGTTAATATATTGTATTTTCATTGATTGGTATTATTACTGTTATTATAATGTCAATATAAAATTGTAGATTCCGCTTTACAAATATTGGAGTAAAAAGTTATTACAAATTTACTAATTTATATTAATACGTAAAAATAAAAATAAAAAATGACAAACAATAAATTTATTATACCATGAGGAGTAAGCATCATTACTTTGGAGTATTAATTTAAAATCAAATCTAATACTTCGGATTACTATTTATTTGTTTTATTTATTTCATGATTAACTCTTGAAGATTATATTACCATTAGTTACTTTCTTTTATTGTCACATACTCCGTATATTTGGCTTGAATTTAAGTGAATAACAGTGAGAAATTATACGACATTGCTCTATTTATTCATGGCTGATATCTTTCTTAAATGTTAAGATAATTTATACACTCAAAATTCTATATTTACGTCATAGCTTTATTTATGTTAAGATAATAAAATAGTATCCTTAAATTAATTAATAGTACTCCGTACTGCCGCCGTACATGCCAATTACATGTGACATTTGAAATCTAATTAATAAGCATTTAAGTGGGCGGAACTCGAATTTATGTACTCCAAATTTTCTTTTTTCATCAATGCTCAATTTTGCCCTTTGGGCGAGATTTTTCCCTCCAATTGTGGTGCAGCGACTGTTACTTTATATTATATAAATATGTGTACAAACTATTGCTGTATACTGCGTATGTTTTCTAAAAAGAGTCTTGTTTGACTTTCAAATAAAAAAGAGTATTGTTTGTTATACTGATATGAATACTACAGACATGGTTTTTTGGGGTAGAGGAAGTATTACTTTCAACTAAGAACCAATTATATGGGGTTATAGAGGGGGGAACAGAGATGTTTTTGTTTGAAGCAAGGGCACATCATCTGCAGGACGAGGAAGAGATTGCCAGCCTGTGCAAACTTGGAGAACAGTTTTAAGGGAATCTGAGGGCATTTCCAATGTCCAGTTAGGGTAAAATTCACTTGGATGGAAACATTGGTGACCTGCTCCAGATAATAATGATCCTTGGGCACCATTCAGAAATAAATCACCATCTGATATGATTATGCCTGATTCTGCCACCTCTTTGTCTGCTGCCTAAATCATCAAAACACCATAGCTGCTGAATTTAGTCATATAACACAAATTTTTATGCACAAATTTAGTCATATAACACCAAATTTTACTCTAATCAGCAAACAAGTGATATGAGGAATGAAAAAACTTTAAAGAACGGTGAGGGGAACATTTGGTGATAATCATTGGAAAACTCAGTTCCCAGTACAATGACCAATTGACAGCTAAAGTGTTAATAAGAGTTGTTGTGGACATTTTAATACATCTCCACACATTTATTATTTCAAGTAAGAATCCTTTTCTAGCATGGAACATTATAGAGCCTTAATTTGAAACCATTCACCAATTGCAGATTATATTCATCAAAGAATAGACAAACTACAAAATGTGTGTATGCCATAAAAGGACACTCCGTCACTATCGATTTCCTTCTGTTTCTGGCACAAAGAGCATACATAAAAACTTCACATACATGTGTGCATACACACACATTGTTATATTACTCGTATGATATATTGGTCTTTATATGTAACATTGCATATTTATATCATTTTAAATTTAGATATGCATACACCCATACACCATATAATCTGTAGTGTTGTTTCATTCAGGTAAACTGCTATAAGCAAAATGCAATATCCCATTTTTTAGAAATGAAAAACGTTATCAGGACAATTGATTTCAATAAATTCAGTCAAGCTCAAACACCAACTGATCTTAACTGTTCATTATCCAGTAAAGCAAAGATCAAGCACACCAAAGATGACATACATTGCATGAATGAGTTCATTACAGCCCTACAGGACGACAAAAAACATAAGGTCGTTTTAAATTTAATGTACACTCCCTGCGTCCAAAAGAAGTCTAGTTTAAAGAACTTTTTGTTGCGAAAAGACAAAAAAAAGAGTCCGGTTTCAAAAGCCAACTTTAATTATGAAGTGGGATTTTTATAAAGCATGGTAGCAAGCGGTTTTAATCAGTTATTCCAAACAGTCTTGGAAAAAAGTTTTAGGGTATAAGCCACCATTCATAAGTTTTAGAAGTTTGTAACTCGATTGTTGGCAAAAAAATTGTACCTTCTTTATTTTCAATTACAAGGGCGTATCTTTTTTTCAATTGTGAGGCTAGATTCATTTGATACTGCAAATAAATGTGCAGCAGAGTAACAGTTAGGGTAGAGCTACCTTCTCTGTGTAGTATTCAAAAGCCTTTTTCTTCTCTCCAGCTTCATAAATATTACATTGAGAATAAACCTGCAACCAACCACACATTTGTTATCGATTGTCAACATTCACTAGCCATTTTATGCAGCAACTAAACTCACCACTCACCAGTGATTCTACACTGGCACATACAGCGTATAAACCCCAATTTCTTGTGTAGTTGTTGTAAAGGTGTACTTTACCAAACCTAACACGAGGTTGCCTTTGTTTTGTGCCATCAAAAAAACAGTGGTGGATGGTAACTCTTATGCATCTATCATTGACGTGAGAGGGGTCTGCTCCGATAAGCATTGTTTTATTGTGATCTGCAAAATAACATCTGCAAGGCAAAAGTCTTCATTAATCATTGCCTCCATACAAAACAAGTCATGTGTTTAGAAAATGTTGGACGACCTAGACACAGTTATGTCGGTGCTTTGCCTTGTTATGTCTATTAGGCCATCATCATAATCACGAAGTGAACAGCGATCAATCCATATGTGCTTTGAATTTGGTTTTATTTGAATGCCATCCACATCATGACCCCTGCCGCCTTGAAACTCCAAGTTGCATACAATGACATGTTCACAGGCTTTTAGGCGTAAGCCTTTCCCAGTGAGCTTCACCCTTTGTCCACGCCCATCAATGGTCTTATAAGATGACACACTCAGGTACGATAAGAGATCAATGACACCTGAAACTTCGAAGACGATCCAAAGTGGCTCTGTCTTACGGCATCCATCACGAAGTGATCCTGGACCATCATCTACAAACAAAAGATAATGATGCATGAAGCCCCAAGTAGATAACTTCGTATGAAAGACAACCCAATCCCACCATCCAGCCATCACACAAATGAGCTGTTAAGAGAAAGATGCATTTTGAACAGGTTACTAGTTCCAATTCAGTTTAAAAGCGCCATTATTCAGCTCCGATCTATAAGCAATTTTAGAGGCAATGCAGCTTCACTTAGGACTTTTTGCAAACATATGGGATACAAAATCTATCAACAAATTGGCATGGCATATGTTCATCTTCACAGAACCCGAACTCGAATTCTGTACCAAACAAGCAACCGTGAAATTTGATTTCCATGTATGCTTTACGAAGTATTTCTCAACCATTATTAGCAGATTATTTATTACAACAAAAACACAATTGTTTAATATATACCCCCACAAACTACACTCTACAGATAAATTATAAACCATTTAGCGACGCATTTTTGTTATTAATATTACTCATCCGCCATCAAAATTCACAAATACTATTCGTATGTTTTAAGGTAGGTTGCAGGTATACAATTTAATACAATTTTTCCAAACAACATAAATTACACATAAAATCAGAAAATGAAAAACTATATATAGAGAATTAAAGATGGGAAGATGGAACCAACCGGCTAATGTCGTAACACGATAAAGCTGACCGTTGAGGCCGCCTATGGAGGACCTTCCAAAGCCTTCGGCTCGACCGGCCATAGATCGAAGGGTAAAGTCGACGTCAGCGTATGGTAATGCCGCCATGGCGGTTCTGTCTCAGCGAATCTCTGTTTCTTCGATGGTAACCGGACGATAATACCATAGAGTAGTTGCTTGTTTCGTTTCCTCCACGGCTCCACTTATACATTTATGTTGCACAATTCTCATAAGTCATAATGGCGTTCATAGCTTCTTTTTCGGCAGTTTCACGTAAGGATGAATGGATGATGGTATGGGTGCGTCGGCATTTCCAAATTATTTAAGGTGCTTTGAAGTCGAGTTTTTTTCCGGATTAATGTTAATTAATTAATTAATTACGGAATTAATGTTGGGTTAAAACTATTTACCAATATACTGCTGGGCTTAACCCTGGTTGGGGAAAGTCGTCAAACCGTTTGGGGACTCTCTAATTCATACGGAGAAAATGCGTACAAGGTGAAGGGAAGCAGTCCGCTGGGAGAGTAACACGTATGTGAATAGGTGGCGCAATTTATATGGTACACCCGGCTGTACCTTCCTCTTGGTACAGCCAGGTAATTTTGTAATAAACTGCAACTTCTATCCTCTTTATTTCTTCTTTTTCCCTTTGTTCGCTTTTTCCCTTTGGTCGTCGTCTCGCAGCTTTCATCTTCTTCCGCGGATTGCTTCTTAGTAGCAACGCCATAGATTTTGTTCTTCGATCGGTTCTTCCGGTCCTTCTTCTGTTTATTTGTTATTGATCTTCCCGGTTTTCTTCTGCAGCTTTCTCCATTCGTAGTTTCGATTTTACTTCACTGATCGATTTAGGTAAGTAGTTTTCTTTGCCGTTTTACATTTATATGTTTTTTCCTTCTTTCGTTTCAAATTCTTTTTTGTTTCATCGAAGTTATCTTTTCCTGTAATCATCTTTATTTTTACTCAACTTATTTTTTGGTTGTATTGTTATACGTTGTCGCTACTGTTATAACTATTATAAGTTGTTTTAGTTCAATTTTTTTCTGTTTTAGATTCTTATCGACCATATGGCTGATTTTGGAGGTACTTATTCTATGAACTAATTCATTACATTAGTTGATATGTTTTGAGTATTTAGTTGATCAGTTTTGAGTTTACATTTGTTTTGTTTGTTTTGTTTTTACTCTGTGCAGATTGTATTTCTCCCCGTGGAAGATTAATTGAGGATATAGATTCTGGAGGCGGAATTGTTGGCATTCAATCCAGTAATATACTTTCTAATTGCAACTCATACATTTTGTTCTTCTTTAATCAATCTGTTTATATTTTGAATTTTGTTTTGTGATGTTCTTGTAATGTTTTTCCATTCATCTAGATTTCTTGGATTCTGCTGTTAATTTCAGTGAAGACCAAAATCTTGTTTGTGCAACAGAATCTGTCACGCCCCAGACCGCAATCCAAGCGCGTGTACAACCGCCGTATAACTAAGTGACGTCACCCACGAGTCAACCTCACTTAATTACACAAGGCGTTCGAGAAAACAATTCATCCATACTCAGTAGTAAACATACATAACAACATCACATTTAAACCAATGAATAGCGGAAATATTCAACGGTAAGTCATGAGCCACAACCGGCCAACAACATGGGCATGCAAGCCCAAAAAGTGTTTATAGTAAACAAATATCCATGAGCAAGTGTTCGGTAGTTTGAAAGAAAATAAGGAAGCACGAACCACGTCTTCCTGATGTGATATCACCCGTGAGAAGGTGCAAGTAGCAAGCTCTAGCTTCAACCTGAAAATGGTGGGGCCCCCCGAAGGGGTCAGTACAAGTACCGAGCGAGTAGCAGGCTAAATATAGAATAACTAGCGTTTCAAGTATAAGACCCAAACATAGGGTGATACTTAAATAAATAATCTTTCCCCCAAGTTATGAAATACTTATTAGTATATATATACTTGGAAAATATCCGATCCGTAGATCACCATTTTATTCGGGAAAATAGTAATAGTCAATATTCTTGACTAAAAACCCCAACCCACCCATATACCTATGAGTGTATAGGACTCCTCCTTGTCCCTACTTGTATATCACAATCTATGAGTTTTAGGATCATAATCCTTGGATACTCCACCGGTTTGTGAGTGTTAAGGACTCATAAGTCCTAGGGTCCTCCACCAAGTTTGAGTGTTAAGTACTTTTAAGTACTAGGGTCCTCCACCAAGTTTGAGTGTTAAGGACTTTTAAGTCCTAGGGTCCTCCACCAAGTTTTGAGTGTTAAGTACTTTTAAGTACTAGGGTCCTCCACCAAGTTTGAGTGTTAAGGACTTTAAGTCCTAGGGTCCTCCACCAAGTTTGAGTGTTAAGTACTTTTTAAGTACTAGGGTCCTCCACCAAGTTTGAGTGTTAAGTACTTTTTAAGTACTAGGGTCCTCCACCAAGTTTGAGTGTTAAGTACTTTTTAAGTACTAGGGTCCTCCACCAAGTTTTCCTATGATCAACCTCCTATCAACCTAGATAGAGTCTATATCATCCTTAGTTACTCATAACTAATCCAATACATAATTCTTATGTATCACAATCCATGCAAAGCCATGCATTTAAATAAATGTATAATTAACTAACATCAACCGATATTAGTTAATCCATCATCCATCGGTCAACGTTGTCGTTGACCGCCAATTCAAGCCTTATTCATATCAACTTAATCATCATATAATTAAGTCAATAATACTCATTTGAGCTTCTTTTACACTTCAAGCTAATGTGCATTTTATATAATCTCTCATATCATATTTCATGCATAATCAATTAATTCTTTTCATACAACTTGATAATGTTGGCTAATCACATGTTTAAATATCTTTTAAACATCATTATGAAAACATATAACATTTATTTAGGTAATCTCATAATTAACCCAAAAGTTATAAGATATTAAGCCGTCCACTCACCTTGAACTAGCGTTAAGAAGTTCTACCCTTCTTGGTTGAACTCCGGTGAAACTCCGGCGACTTGGTCAACTCCGGCGACAACTCCGGCGACTTTTTCCAACTTTGTGAAATCACTTGAAATACCCTTTACAAGTGCCTAACAAGGTTTTATAATCATAAAACCCATATTAATACAAATAACCTCAAAAAGGTTATTTTCCGGTGAACCGGTCGTTTTGGCTTCTAAGCCCGTTCTTGGACATGGAATCACTTTCCAACCCATTAATCCATACTTATAACATGTAGAACCCTCTTAATGGTTCTTCACATGATATGTATCTCATATGGTAGAAGAAAAATAAAGAAAGAGTTATAATAAGGTCATTACCTTAATTATTTCACACTTTTAGCACTTTAGCTCCTTTTTGGGTGATTCTTCCTTGATGATTTCTCTTCAACAATGGAGGGAGGAAGAATGGAGAGTTTTCCTTCTCTTTTTCTGCAGCTTGGCCGAACAAATGGGGGAGAGAGGAAGGGGATGGACCTTTGTCTCATTAAACCAATGAGTGTAAAAAATGGGGGTCCACCTAGGTACTTTTGATGCCATTCCCTTCATGTCAAACCCTTCTCCCATGCTCCCTCCTTCCACCAGCCGACCAACCCTCAAGTTTGAGTGGAAAAATCGTGGGTTGGCCCCCACTCATGTGGGAGGTCAACCCCTTTTGTCCCGAAGTGTACAATCGGCCCCGAAAGTTGTATTTTTCGGACTGTTTTAATCATATTTTATTTTATCGGGTCAAATAAAATATATTATGTGCTCTTACTCATTATGACATGTATAATGAATATACATTCCCAAAATTTAATTTATAAACCTCCGAAATTCATTTTCGGGCTGTTATCTGTTAACTTGTCGGTACCGGTAATTGGGCCTCTTTTTCCCAATCGGTCAACTCTGCGCCTTTCCACGACCCAAATAAAATATCCACCACTATATAAATATTATCTTGACCAAGATGAATAAAATATGTGGTCTCGGGAGTATCGGGCGGCCCCCGCTCCCGGTGTGGGTCCCACGTGCAATTTACTATTCACGCGAAAGAAATAATAAAAATTTACAACTTCGTAAATTCATTAATCCTTTAATAAGGTTCAATACATTATTTACATAAAAGTAAATATATTTGGGGACGGTGTTACAAGTTCACCCCCCCTTATTTGGGATTTCGTCCCCGAAATCCAAGTATCTAATCGAAAAGAAATGGGTATTGCTCCCTCATTGAGACCTCGGTCTCCCAAGTTTCTTCTTCGACTCGATCACTCCTCCAAAGGACCTTTACCATAGGAATCTCCTTATTCCTAAGCTTCTTCACTTGTTGACCCACAATCTTCACTGGTTCCACCGCATATTGCAAGTCCTCACGGATCTCTACCGGTGGTTTCTCAAGAATATGAGATGGGTCTCGTATGTACTTCTTGAGCATTGATACATGAAACACGTCATGTATCTTCTCAAGTTCAGGCGTCAACTTGAGTCGGTAAGCCACGGCCCCGATCCTTTCAAGGATCTCAAACGGTCCTATGTATCGGGGGTTAAGCTTCCCCCTCGATACGAATCGGATGATGCCCTTCCAAGGAGAAATCCTTAGGAAGACCTCATCACCGACTTCGAACTCTAACGGTTTCCGCCGTTTATCAGCATAACTCTTCTGTCGGTCCTGAGCTGCCTTCAATCTATCCCGAATGATCCTTACCTTGGCCTTGGTGATTTCAACCAGCTCTATCCCTTCGAGTTTGTCCTCGCCAATCTCGTCCCAACACAATGGTGTTCTGCATTTCCTCCCATACAATGCCTCATATGGGGGCATGCCGATACTTGCCTGATAACTGTTGTTATAGGCAAACTCCACTAGGGCCAAATGCTTGTCCCAACTTCCCTGGAACTCCAATGCACATGCCCTAAGCATGTCTTCCAAGATCTGTATCACCCGTTCGGACTGTCCGTCGGTCTGTGGGTGAAAAGCTGTGCTAAACTTCAGTTTAGTCCCCAAAGACGCTTGAAACTTTGGCCAAAATCGGGATGTGAATCGTGGATCCCTATCCGAGACAATGGATATTGGGACTCCATGTAATCTCACAATCTCCTCCGTGTATAGCTTGGCCAATCTTTCAAGAGGATAAGTAATGTTGATAGGCAAAAAGTGTGCACTCTTGGTGAGCCTATCAACCACTACCCAAACTGCATCATAGTTGTTCACCGTTCGTGGTAGCCCCACCACGAAGTCCATGGTCACATGCTCCCACTTCCACTCTGGGATGGTGAGTGGCTGCAAGAGCCCTGCCGGGTGCTGATGTTCTGCCTTAACTTGCTGGCAAGTAAGGCA